TCATCTTTGCAAACTTCCCAGCACAAGCAATTTTCTATTATTTTGAACACATTCTACTGTTTTCCTTTCTATAAACCACACGTTTATCTCACTGCTCCCTGACAACTTGTAAAGCTTCTCTATATTTGCTCATTCTTCCACCAGGTTAGATTCAGTGCAACACACTGTCCCAGTCATGTTTTTCTTGATCATTTCAGTATGCTGATCAAACATCTCAGACTCATTTCACATGTCCCTGTGTTTACCAAAACAAGACAAAATAATAAGGTACTGCAGCAACCTCTGCAAAGAAATCCTCGCTTACTGAATTCCAGTCTCAAGCTCTAGAGCATCATCTAGAACTGAGAAGCTTTACCAAAAGCCTCACAAAACTTATTTGAGAGCAACTATCAAATGTATGTCTCCAATCCTTAATTTAGCCCTGATACTGGAGGAGGAGAAGAAAGAATCACTCCCAGCTCAACATCAAAGCAGAAGTAACAGCAAGACAACAATCCTCAACACTCTCAGAGTTGGACCTGGAGATTAATGGACTTCTCTGTTAAACAGAAAAAAACAAAAAAAAAAAAAAACAGAAAAAAACCACACAAACAAACAAAAAAAACACAAAAAAAAAAAAAAAAAACACACACATCCCACATCTCCCTTCCCAAAAGAAAAAAAGAACTGAACTAGAACTAAATTCTTATTTTCTTTTTGTATCTGCTAGTTAGCAACACTAAAGCTTTCATTTAGAGGCAGACAAGTTTTATTCTGGAAAAATGACTGCTTTGTTTGGGGGACATTTAACTTTTTACCTATTTTGTTTCAATTTCCATTTTGAATCAAAGTTTTATTTTCAAATACTATAATGAAATCCAGCAATGTTTAGACAAAGTCACCACGTTCCCAAATCATTTCACTTCTGAAACAGTGACCTATCACTAGCAATACACCCTCCATGGACCAAATTGTGTCCTCCCTGTTTTATGGAACACCTGAGCTTGCCACTAAAGTACTTGAGATCAAAAAAATCTTGGCCAAGCAGAGGTATTTATGACTTTTTTTGATGGAAAGTTTAAAAATTGCTTTACCCCAAAAAATAAGTTTTTAACTGGACTTGTCTTTGCTATTCCAGCCAACACAGAGCATATTGCTGTTCATCTCCTGACAAATTACTCTCCAGGAGAATACAAATCACCCGTGTTGAGCTTCAGAAAGGCTCTGGAAGCGAGCTCTGTTTCAACCCACTAGAGACGGAAAGACAGCCACAAAACAGACTCCATCCCAGTGGAAAGCTTCCCGTGCTCATAAACACAAGTTTTAAACCCATTCATTAACGGCTGAATTGCACTCACCTTTGTTGTGCTACATGTTCAGGTTGCTCTTCCATCCATTACGTTTTTTGCTGTGGGCGTATTCTCTGTTTTATTAACTGTAATTTAATTCAGTACATATTCCTACCCAGAACAGGTTATTTTCCTGACCGCTTCAAAACATTTTTCAGGATGGAACACAGATGAATTTTTAACTAGCAAAACAAGACAGACACACACACCAAAAAAAAAAAAATACACAAAGAAATCCTACTGTGTGACTCTGTTGGGATGGTTTTGTAAAATAAAGTTTGCCATATCTGTCAAGTCTCCCACCACCTAAGTTTTCTTCATTAATGAATACCACACAGTAAAAACTGATGCCACATAAACTGTACATCATTGCTTGAGATAGTTGCAATCACAGAGTCTGCTGCTTTTGCCTTTACTAAAGCTGTATATCATGTTTACTACAGATGACTGAAATTATGGAATCTGAAATATTTGCAGCTTACAGTTTTCTAAGTATCTCAGATGGCATACATTAATGCCCAGGAGTCATTACCCCCATATTGCAATACCTCAGCCTCACTGCTCTGCTCTCTACTGTCTGCTGACATCAATTTTGCAATGAAAACCCAGCAATTCAGTGAGAATAGGTGCCCGAGCAAAGATAAAAACTTGTGTCTAAAAACTGAATACCACTGTCCTCTCGTACACGTACAAAAAAATTTCTATTTTTTTTTTAATATATACCTTTATATATACTTCCATATCCTACAGTCTGCTATGGCAAGTAACACTCTCCACAATCTCCTGTTCAAAACACAGCAAACAGCAACACACACTGCTCTCACCACATGCTGAAAACAACACCACCATGGATTACAAACTATTGTGGGAGATGGATCAGAAACGGCTACAATTACACCCCATAACTGAAGAGATTGTTTCACTTGATCTTTCTTTTGGAAGGCTACACCAGTCTGGAAGAGCCAATGGCACGTAGCGTCTTTCTGTTCATTCTTGGAAACCTGGAAACAGATGAGGAGTCCTCCCTCACTCTGAGTGAGGCTGGGACCAGAAGTTTGACACATCAGACTATCTCCAACCTTTCAAAAACACCCATGATTCACTACCAGAACATCCCTTTTCTGCAGAAACACATTTTCTATTTCAGCAACTGAGTCCGGAAGGTGACTATTTCTCCACTTTCTTATAGTTTTTAATTAGTTTTAAATGTTCACTTCATTTATTTTCTTCTTGCTCCTTGATCATACTACCCTTTCAGGTCACGTCACCTCAGCTGAAACACTTTCATACTTTACTGCACTGCACCTGGGTTACACGCTCTGCCTTTCCCAAGGGGCAGTCTGCATCTCCAAGGGACGTCGGAGCCGCTGCGGGTATCAGACAGCAGATTATCTTGCGTGTTATTCTATCTCTGCTAGCGCCTGCCCAGCACATGCATGGATACCATACATCATTCCGCTCAGCAGCCCCAGAGAGGGCCAGCTTCCAACCCTAAGCAAAGGGGACAGTGCTGTAACAGGCAGGCAAGTACAGGGAGGCACAATCCACCAGATAAAATGAAGGCAGCTCAGGCAGGTAGGATTTACTACATCACTAATACAGCTTTTTCTTTGCTTTCCCGGTGGTCCTTCAATCTCTTTCCTCACCCATTTCATACATTTTCTCAAAATAGCTGCCTGCTATGTGAGTGCAGGTGAAGAAAAAAAAAAAACACAAAAAACAAACCAAAAACACCACCCCTTTCTAAAGTAGCTAGCTTATTTTCAGACACAAAATACATGCATTAGCTAGGTGAGACTCAATAGAAAAGAGAAGCAACCAAAAAGTTTTTCCAAAAAAATTAGCAGAAGATGTTGTTTCAGTCAGAATAAAAGCTTAACAAATAAAAATCACAATAGAAAGGAAGTGCAACTAAAAGCATTCCCAACAAAACTGATGCAACATGTCCTTAATACTCAAGTGTTTAAACTAAATACAGTAGAATTACAAAGGAATGCCTAAAGATGACTCAATAAGGAGTTATTCAAAGCAGAAATAGCATTACCAGCATGTTTATAGTAAGCTTGTTAGTCCAAAGCACAGTATTTTTTGGTTCTTGTGTTCAAAACAAGACTGCAGACAATGAGCACTTGTGTTTAAACACAGAAGTGAGGTGGGACGGTTCATCGGTGACTCAGAGGCTGGATCTCTGCAGACTCACAGAGCGAGCAGAGAAACCTGCCTTCCTTGCAGTCTCTGCTTTTAAGTGACCCATACAACTCTTCTATCCTCTGGCACAGATCCCTGGGATTTTTTCTTTTTCTTTCGAATAAACAGTACTTCACTTTGCCTGTGGTGCTTTACCTGTTTCCCCTACCACAGCACCCACTTCATCACCACCCTGGAAGCAGCCCTGGTTGCGGTGTGATGCACGGCTTCCAGAAGGAGCACCACAGGGTTCAGCATCCGTCGGCACCATCCTAGCCTTGCCTGGCAACACACCTCCATTTCACAGCACACCCTCCCATTCACTTCACTTTACATGATCCTGGGGCAAATAACAAAAAAGGTAGCTTTACTAATATTTGGAATGCTATCTCAGTAATAAATTAAGGTTTTCAAAGCTCAGGCAAAGAGCTGGAGTGACGTATGGGCAAAACCTCAGAGCGTGGGAAGAGCCAGAATGCACTGAGCAACACGCCACGATGGCACAGAGATTTTCGGCCAGGATGTCTGATTCCATCATATCATGAAACAATTTTATGGAGGCAAGACAGCCCATTGTGGCTTCTTAACCTCTCTGGTTTACAGTCAAACCACACAAGCTTTCACCCCCAGGCAGTCCCAGCAGCAGTCCCTTTCCTCAGCCACACTGGTAACACAGGAGCCTGTGAACTGCAGCCAGGACAAGACAAATTTTCATTTTCTATTATGTTAATAAACAACAAAGCAGCTATGTTTTGTGCAAACAATGCTTTTGTCTCACCATACTGAAATATAAACCCCCGAGATTCAAGGAAGTTCCTAACAGTTGACAAAGTAGACATGTGCTTTTTGAATACACTTTGTGTCAGTCCAGCAGGACAGTTTCCCTCACCTACAAAATGCCCCAAGAAGTTCCCAGAACCACCTTCACATCTGGTGGCTCGAGCAGATGGGTTCCCACTTCCCCCCCATCCAGACCATCGATAGCATCAAGCACTGGCACAGCACACACCATTAAAGTACAGCATATACCTCTAATGGAGAATTTACCTCCCTGAACAACAGCCTGGAGGCATTTACATCACCTCCTTAACCTGCACCAGCATCCCTACTGCTCAGCTTTCATAATCCCTTTTGGTTAAGGTACAGAGGTGCAAGCAGCATTGCGGGGCAGGGAAGCAAAACAGACATGGATATTCATGTTGTTGGTGCAGCAACATCAACACAGGGTATTTTTTTTTTATATATATACATATTTTCTTATCCCACTCTTTGCTTACAGCCTGCACAGCCAGACGAGCCCAGTTGCCTTGGACACCTGGATAGGACCATTCACATCACAGCACATCTTCCACCATGACCCCTCCACCAACCTACCAGCAGCAACTGGGAATCAAAAGCTTCCAAAGTGCAACCGCCACCTGGTTTTTCCACTCCCGCTCCACTACCTTTGTGCTGTTATTCAGCAGCGAGCTTGGCACAAGGTACCTGCAGCATCTGGCATGCTTCACCCACTCCAGCGCAGGCTCCTCACGTGCTCTTCTCTGCTACCAGCCGCTGGGATAGCTGCTGCTGTGCCCAAATACAAAAGGAGCAAGTGTCTGAAACAGGCATGAGAGCTCTGCTCATCTGTCTGAGAGCAAGATGTAAGAGACTGCATACGGGTTAAGGGGAAAAAAAAAAAAAAAAAAAAAAAAAAAAAACAACACAACAAACCCAAACAAATTATACTGAAGTGCGAGGAGACTCATGGGAATCCCCATTTCTTACTCGTAAACCCCAGAACTTTTGCACCATCAAAGGTAGTTAAAAGCAGCAGCACGAGTGCCTCCTACCAGAGCAGCTTGTCAGCAAACACGCGTCAGTGCGATCCTTATCGGTAAGGCTTTCTAGTGAAAAGACGTCCCTAGAAAGCAGTCACTACAAATACAGTTTTCCTGAATATCATTAGTGATCCAGAAGTAATGAAATAGCAGATAATATAGCCCCAGGGTACAAATCAACCACCTACCCTAATGCATACAGATGGAGCTCAATAGCTCTTCTGGTCTTCCATTACCAGAGTGAAATGGGATCTCTGAAACACTGTCATGGCAAAGCAGAAGAGAAGCTTACTAATGAGTGCTGTTTATTTCTGCTCCTTCAGAAAATGCTTTTAAACACTGAAATCTCAAATAAATTCTGTTTCTATGTAGTATGAAGACGAGCAGACACAGATTCCCCTCACAGAACCAAGATAAAAAAACAGAATGTACAACCTCCTGCTCTTCCCTGACTTTGCAGAAAAGGCTTTGCTGAGAACAGTGTCTAAACACTTTTTGTGAAAAACAATGAAACTTTATCCAGTCCCACCAAAGAAAGTAGCAAAACTGTCATGACTTACAGCAGGATCACGGTCCTCTTGTTGATGTTCGCATCAGTTAAAGCAGTAACTTCCACAACGCTCTAAAACCGACTTGGCAAATTTATAAGGTACGAGCAGGCACAGAATCTCTCCGCTTCCATCCTTGGGAAAATTTAGCACTTAACACCAAGAGCTTCCTCCTGCAAAGACGTGATGTTATGCATTCCGAGCTGGTCACATCCTCATGAACCAGCCAAGCCAACGCGCAGCGCCGCACACACATCGCACACCCTGACATATCTGTGCCTATCTTCTTCTTTGAGAAGTAGCCCTGCAATCGAGCACGTCACTTTAATGCCACCTCTTTCATCTTTGACACGACATTGCTTAGACTCCACTGAAATCTTTTCAGAAACTAAAGAGTTCACCACTTTTCAAATCAGTTTCCTCAAAGTTTGAATGTTTTTATGATGCAAGTTGAACACCCACACAAGGCACAAGAAACAGTAGCTCTCAGTCACCACGTCCTCTCTTAGGCACTTTCAGCGATACCCAGTTCTAACAGGTACATCAGCCCACTCACCCGCGCACATAATAAAGACATCCCCTGCACGGCTTCTTTCAAAAATTACGTTCTCAGGAAATCAATTCGTTAGGCTGATTTTTTTTTTTTTGTCGTTGTTTTCATTAGAGGAATTAAACAATATATTTCAATTATACAAAAGAGCTGGAGGCAGCGGTCAGCAAGTACTTTTATGACCCTCATCTATTCTTTTAAAAGCCTTCTCCCGAACGGCTCGGGCAGGCACAGGAGTGGGAGGGAAGGAGGGAGGGAGGAGGGGAGGAACATGACTACAGCGAGCCCTCATTCATATCTTCACACAAATAAAGTCCGAACTCTACACGGTCTGACCTTGAGTGAGCAACAAGACGTAAAATAAACAAAAGGACAAGCATGACAAATTAAGAATAAACATTCAAAGTAACGAAGGGTTATAAGGAAGAAGCGTATTAGAGTGCCTCATTTCAAATCACCGGTTGAAGAACCAACGGAGGGAAAAAGACAACTCAGACACATTTTAATACTCTGAGGGTGGGTGGGTGAAAAAGTGTGATTTTATAAGCCATCCTGCACGGCAAAAAAAAAAAAAAAAAAAAAAAGCAAGCAAGCACAAAACCCGGCAGAGGCAGCTCGGCGAGCAGCGGCTGCGCTACTTTTGAAAGCTCTCCGGCAGGCAGGAGTTGGCAGCAGTGCCCTCAGCAAGCCCCGGCGGGCGAGGACGCCGCTGCACGCTGCCCGGAGCCGCTCGCGCCGCTGCAAACTTCCCCCGCTCCGCGGAGCCGCCGCCGCTCCCGGACCGCGGCCCCGCCGAGACCGGCCGCCGCGGAGGCTCCGGGGCCGGCGGGCGCGGCCGCCCGCGCTCCCCCCAGCCGGAGCGAGCCGCGGAATTTCAGCCGGAGCGCTCCCCGAACCCACAGCAACTTCGCCCGCCCGGCGCCTCCGTCCGTCCGTCCGCCCGCCCTCCCCGCCGGACCCACCCGCTCCCCCCGGCGCCGGGGCGGCCGCACCTCCTGGCAACGCGGGGGCGGCGACACGGAGCCCGGCTGGGTCCGCTGCGGCGGGGAGGTCTGCGGTGCAACGGCGCGGCGGGGCGGCGACGGGGGCGCGGACTCACCCGCTCAGCCCCGCGGCGCGGAAAGGGCGCGGTGCCGCGGGCGGAGCGAAGATGGAGGCTCGGGGCGGCAGCCGCCCGCCCATCCCGGCCGCGGCCGCGGCCGCGCTGCTCCGCGCGCCGCTCCGCGCCGGCGGAGGGAACCGCCGCCCTCGGGCGCCCCCTGCCGGGCGGCCGCCGTGACGGGCGGCGGCCGGAGGGGGAGGCTCCGAGGGGAACGGCGGGACGGGGAGGCCCCGGCTCGCCGCCCGGTGAGCGGGAGCAGGGCCGGCCCGGCGGGGGGGCCCCCCCGGAGCCCTGGGGGAGGGTCGGTCCGGCCTCACCCCCACAGCCGCTGGCTCCCGGGCGGGCCAGGCCCGAGAGGCGGAGGCTGCTGCAGACCTCGTGGAGGTTCAGAAAGCTCCGGGAAGTTGCTCCTTCGACTTTTAAGACAAAGAGAGACCCACTTTTCCACATATCTTGCTAAATACGCAGCCGCTCAACAAACCGAGTCAGGAATTTCTTCATTTCAATTTAGCCTGCACCAAACTCCCAACTCTGTTTTTCACCAATCTTATCATCCTGTCTGCCATGCGGTGCTGAGGGTATTTCCAGTGCTTCCCTAACAACCCCCCAGACAATCACTAATACAGTCTCTAAAAGCTTTGCACGAGGAACGTTAGTTCCATTGACTTTCAAAGTCATCTAAATCATATTCTCAGGAATTTAATTAGTGCAAGAGATTACCAAACTGGCTGAAGTCCTCGATTAAAGAGGGAATATTTATTGATTGTAGGGAGAGCAGGCAGGCTGAATACTGCATCCAACACTTTTTAAATACATGAAGTGAACGATCTCAGTTCAGTTTATCTGCACTGTTTAAAAATTCAACTAGGCATTATTCAATGCAACCTACATTTTTTTTATATACCTGGTCACTAAGTTTAGGTGTTATATAGAAAAAATTAATGCACATATCCAATTTAGCAAGTACTAGGTGACTGTATGCACAATGAAATTACTACAATATTTATTCCAGCTTTTCACAGAGTTTTTATTTCTGCGTTGTTAAAGAATGTTCGTTCTCAAACTATGTGGAGTGTGAAACTAATTATGACTACTGAGAATGAGGAATAATTCCACTGACATGGAGCTGGTATAAACGAATGACAATCAGGCCCTTTAAGACTAATACATGACCTTTGGGCTAACACTACCCTGGGGATAACCTATTCAGGCTCCAAAAATCAGTTCACCAAATATTTTCCATTTAACAAGAAGAATGTGTAGAATGTTTTAATGGACATAGATGTGTCACTTACATTCCTCATTTTATTTTTAATTCACAGAAATATTAAATACAGGTAAATCCTAATTGTTCACAGCATCTATAGGCTCCAAATGAAACGAGAACTTCGTTGTGTTAGGTTCTGTATAATAAACAAGTGTTCCCGCCTCAGAGAGCTTGTATCTTACAAAGGCAAGAGACAGCAGAGTAGAAATGCAGGCAGAGAGATGTGATGATACTTATCATAAGGCATGAAATCCGGATCAGGGATTGAAACCCGAGTTTCCTGCCTCCAGGTTCAGTCCTGCCCATTGCCCTCATGAATTATCAGGCATTTTCCTGGAAGTTTACTGGGGGAGGAAAGTCCACCAGAGATTGCAGTCCAGCTGGTCAGGAATGTTCCAAACCAAGTTTTGTGAAAAAAGTTGTATGTGTCAAAGTGGAAACACTTCCTCAAAGGTGATCTGTTTTTAAAAGGTTTTTTTCTTGGATGTTTCCTAGGTCAGAGAACCTTACCCCAAATGCCCTTCGCTTCTCTGCCGCCTGCTTCTTTTTTCCATTGAAAAGTTTTAAAAGGTCTCATTTTTGTCTGATAAAGAATAGATAGCACCTCTTGAAATGTCAGTTTTTCACAAGTGACACTTCTGCTTTTTCCTGACTGGCCCTGGACTACAGGCAGTTACACTCTATTTGCCTTCCTACAGCCCTTGTGTTGCTGTCTACCAGGAATAGCTGCATTTTGCACCTCACAGTTAATCTGGAGTTGAAGCATCTGTGAAACTGCACCACTGCAATTCTTAGCTTAATCTCCCAATGTAGAGCTTGCATTAATGCAGTTAATCTAGCATCTGGGTATGGGAGCCTGAACTCCCCCCCTACAGCCCCAAGAGCAGCACTGATTAAAAAAGGAGCCAGCACAAGAGGGCGAGAAAAGTCCTCACTGTCCAGCAGCCAGCTGAGTGCCAGCACCCTTCAGTGCACACAGTTTGGCTCTGATTCTGTTCCTCGAGACTTTAGCTTTCCTCAAAATCTTTATGGAAGACTATATATACCTAAAAGATGTGCAGGAAATAAATATGGAGTAAACGGGTAGGAAATAGATGAAATAAACCTGCTTTTCTCAATTTGAGTAGAAAAGCTGAAGTAAAAGACCTGGAAGCAGCAACAGGAAAATAAAAGCACAAATGTAGAGCATGAAGGAGCTTGGAACTCCGAGTAACCTGTTGGGATGTTTTTTAGCCCAGTTCACTTGTTTCTTCTTGTTTCTGCTATTTGTGATCCTCTTATTACATGGATCTCACCTGTTTTGTGGGGCTCAAAGAAAGAAAACTGGTACCCAGGTACTCTGAGTACTGGAAATGTCAAGCCAGTTCTTGCTTATGGATGACTGGCTCAGCCTAAGAAGGGAATAACAAAGCCACTTGAATGACAGCTTGGATCAAGTTCATAATGACCTGGTTTGTACAGGCCAGGTGTTATGTAGATTGGAGCTTGTTATTGTGCAAAATTTTGGCAGGCCTTGTGATACAACAGCCAGTTCCAGCAGAGCTGGGCAAAAAGCCACAGACTGGAGGCAGGTCTATCTTCAGCAAGATGAGCAAAGAAGCCGTCTTTTTCTGTACTCAGTACCTTGGGGATGTGAATCAACCTGCCTGCACAGCGTCTGGAATAAAGCTTATAAAGCAACAGAGAACAGTTTCAAAACATGGAATTCCAGGCTTAAAAACAAAGAGGAAAGCTTGCATAAAAACACATCGCCAAGTTTACTGTCTGTTTCTTAGGGAGCAAAAATTCAGAGCAAAACAGTATGAGATACAAGCCTCCTGCTACAGCGTTAATGGCAAGTGAGCAAACTCTGTTACAGAATGTCGCTATCGATATATTCTGCATTGGTTAGGAAGTCTTTCATAATATCAATTTTCATGTTGTCTAAAAGTAGTTACAAGAGTAATGCAGATGAAGACCTACTGAAATTAGGGCTCACCTAGGATTTGTTCTCTTACTCTTCACCATTAATATGCACATACTGTGATCTGTCACTTAAGTTAGTTGGGCTTAAATTTTATTCTTTCTTTAGATGGCCATTTCTTAAAAAGAGGAAGATACCAAAAAATCAAATCAAGGAAAGTATGCAATTTTGGGTGCAATTTTTGCAATAATAATTAATGTTGAGCTTTCAGGAAATCTGAATGCTTTTCACCAGTACTCAGTGTTTATTCCTGTGTCCAAAGTTAATAAAAGGGACTGTATAAACCAGATCAAAGCCAGTTAGATGAATTAATCGGATTTCTATTTTATGTTTTAGTGAAGACTTTATAAGCATAGTGGCAGTGATGTTTTTACACCATACCACAAAAGCTGGTACAACTCAGGAGAAAGAAGAAAAAAAAAAAAAAAGAGGGAAAAAGGAAAAAGCTGAACTATGTCATCTTTACCAGGATATTATAACTGCAAATAAATGGCAGCTTTTTCCATGTATGAAGTATGGCATTTTCAAGTAGTATCAGCTTTCAGATTGAAGTCAATGGCAACACAGAAGAGCAGCAGAAAGCCAAGCAGATAATGAATGCCTGCCACAATGGATTTGCAGCAGAAAGACACACGGCTTTAGATAAGTGGTACATCCAGGACAGGCACAAAGTAGGTGTGGTTAGTTGGGCTTTAATGCTCCATGGAGGGGTGGGTTGCAAGGCGTTTCTTGAATCTCTCATTGTTCCAGAACTTACATCAAGGTTTAGAAGTTATTTTTAATAGTCTGTTATAAACTGGGACCATGAGATCCTGAAAAAAGAAATTATCCTCTCATCCTTAGGGGCAGTGCCTCAGAAATCGATGCTAATGAACAGCCTGCAGCATACAGAAGCTTGCATTTCCCCTGCTGCACCAATTTTGTGCATTCACAAGGGACACTGCAAGTGCCATCATGTGTAATTAGAAACAGGGAGGGGGAAAAGGATATCCTTCATTCACACTTCTCATGGTGTCATTTCTTTGTGGCAGATTTAACAGAGAGTAAACAGGCATTCAGTTTAATACTAGTCCTATTAAGGACCAAATATAATTTATTTTTAATTATGGAGTTATCAAGACACCAGCATAATTGATGGCAGTCCTGTTGTGAACATATCCTTAGGTGATGACTTCTTTAGTAGCAGAAGGAATGCATACAGGCTGGATATTTATCTTTATTAACATTCTAGTTAGAGCATACCCTTGTGAATAGTTACAGCCAGTCTAAATGTTGATTCCAAACCCACCACCCACTAGTGGGTACAATACCCCAAATCCCAGTGTGCATCCCCGCCCGAACCCGAAATAACTGCTGAACCAGGATTTGAAGCCAGCCCTCCCTGCGGCGCAGCGCTGGCTGGATGTGCAGAGGTTGAGCAGGACACCAGCCCCTCTTCTCCACAAGCCATCGGTCCCTGCCTGTTCTTCTCTGCCCAAGTTCTGCTCTTTGTGTCCCACGAGTGGTGGCAACTGTTTCCTAAGGGACACACGACTCCTCTTTATGTGACTGTTATACACCACAGTTCAAGGCACAGGTAGCAGAGGGTGTAAGTCGCAAACCAGACGTAAATATCGGTGCAGATTTAACCCCATTGTATCACCCTGTGGCTCCCTAGTCACCTTCTGGGGACTCGCTCTCCCTCATCCCACTCCCCACTGTGTACCGTACCACAGGGGATTACAGATGTTGCATATTACCCGGGGAGGGTGGACAAAACAAACAACAACAACAACAAACTAGAGCAATCAAAGAGTTTTTCTGATAATGCGCATGAAAGGAGAAAATTTCCTCCATGGCAGACTGGTCTTGGCCAGCT